AAACTGCCCTGTTTTATGATTGTAAAATGTTATTATATGTGCAGGGTGTTCGGCCACACCTGGGAAAAATTTTAATGGGTGATTCTAGAGGCCTCAAGAATACTAATTTGTTTATGGAGGCTTCGTTAAAAAGTTATTAACAATTTAAAGTTCCGCCCATAGTGAATTTCTTTCTCAAAAGTGGGTAGGATTTCGGGTGTATGTCTATTGACCAAAAATGATTATAATTGACGCCTGCCACCAAAAATAATTTTTTTTGAACGATTTGAAATTTTTCAATTTTGTCGAAAAATTTCACACCTTCTCGAATTTTTTTCTAGAAAGTGAATAGGATTCTGGGGTTATGCGTATTGACAAAAAATGATAGTAATTAACACCTGCAATCGAAAATAATTTTTCCAATGTGATTTGAAACTTGTCGATTTCGCCGAAAAATTTCAGCACCCTGTACATTTTTCTTAAAAAATCGTTTTTAATGTTTTGTAATTTTGTTTAACGCTCCATAGAAAAGTTATCTAATACTTTTTTGTAGGTACCCATGGGCTCTGCTTCAGAAAAAAGTTTCATTGAGATATATTCACTATTGTAGGAGTTATGGCTGTTTGAAAATTGGACCATTTTTATGGGGGTTTCTCATTTTACGTGGTTCAAGAACAACTTTTCGAATATTTTTGGAACTTCTAAATATTTTCCATTAAAATACGCGTTGATTGCTTTTTGAAACATTAAAATCGTCCAATCCGTTCAAAAGTTATGACATTTTTAAAATGCGCATGAAATTTTAAGGAGACATTTCTGACATAAAATTACATTTTCGGTAAGGAATTTTTTTCTCCAAAGTGGGTAGAATTTCAGGGGTATACGTAATGACCAAAAATGATTGTATTTGACCCCCGCAACCGAAAGTAATATTTTCAGAATGATTTGAAATTTTTTAATAACTTTTTAACGAAGCCTCAGTCAAGAAATTGATATTTTTGATTTTCGTCTTATTTCCCAGAGGTAGCCGAACACCCTGTAATTTTTACATTAAGAGGCTCTATTTAATGAATGCATTTGTTTTGAGGCAATTAGTGACCTATTCTAGAAGTCATTAACACGTTCGCTGCCACATTAAAACCATATAATATTCTACAAAAGTATAATTTTGGTTTCAGTCCATTGTAAGGTACATAACTTACAATTTCTTTCAGTGTTTATTTTCGTAACTTTGCTAAGATTCACAAATTCCATCCAAATTTATTTCCCTCAGCATCTTAATTCGAGAATTAATTTTTCTTGTATCACAATAGTAAATCTGGTCACCCATATGTGGGCGACGTGGCAGTGAAAGTGTTAATACGTTCCAGACTCATTATATGCGCGAATGTGCCTAAAAAGCTAGTCCAAGCGAGAAGAAACTCTATCAAGGTGCTTCTTACTGTTAAACCTGTACGAATTCTGTTATAATAACCTTTTAAAATACGAGATCGCGTGACACTTCGCTCTCACGAACACATCTCTCACTCTGTTTACAATGTAAGTGGTGAAATTTTGCAAAAAATTTGATGAAACCGCACAGCCTAGAGTCACCGTTGCGATCGACATAGATACGATCCAACTGATAAAACCGGCAGACAACACTGGCGGTTCTAAGAGTGGATAAGAGGCCCAAACTCGTTGCCACCATTCGTAGGAAATGGTTCGATAGTTGGATTCCTGTGGAAAACAACAATTTTTTAATTTAAAATACGGAATAATGCTATTTTAATCGAAGATAATAGTCTTGTAAATGAAACGAAATTTTCATACAGTGGGTGCAAAAAGTATTCGTACAGTGACTAATTACGACCAAAATGCCAAATAATAATGTTTATTAAACAATATTTTTTCAATAAGAATGTTATATGCATTTTCCAAACTATGTATTATAGATCAACAATATCAAGTAAACAAAACAAATGTTCATATTGTTTATATAAATATAAAGAAAAATGAACATAATGACAGTTCTGTTGCCATTATCAAGCATATAAGTAATTTAAACATTCGTAATAAAAACATTATTATTCAGGATGTTAGTTGTAATTAGTCACTGTACATATAATTACAACATTTACAGTTCACGACCAAGAATATGATTTCGTTTCGATCGTTATAGAGAGTGATTATAGAAAGTAGGTCAGCTTCTGTCCAAAAGTTCAGTGGCTAACTGTGATGTGCTCAAATAGGATTTTTAACAGTCCTTTTCACTGTATAAACTCGACACGATCTTCGAGTTTAACTCTTTCAACACAGTTCCCCCACACTGTATTTTTTCTTACAATAATTTTCCTTTCGTCTCGTGGAAAATGACAAGCTGGAGTGCATTAGATAACTCCCCTAATAACACGGTAGGAAAATTGCAACAGCCCTCGTACAAGCGAACATCAATATCTCCCATCGAATACAATTACTTAAAAATATCTGCAACGTATAAACATATTTTCCTATTTGTATTCCCCACGCTGGATATCTTTCCCGATGATTTCCAATCACGTAATCCCATTCGATAGTCGCGAATACTGGGTCAGCGAATACAGGTCATGAAACGGTCTTGAAGATTTTACTCACGTAACTCCAGGACGCCCAGATGCAGCAGTAAAGCAACCTCTGAAAGATCAGCCAGACCCAAATGCTCGTGATGGCGACCACCCAGCTTACCATGACCTTGAAGCACGAACCAGAAGGTTATCTCAAAACCAACATCGCTCTCGATCGTGGTACCTGAAGAGTCTTGTACAGGAATAAGCCCATCGAGTCTGACACGCTGTTAAGGGACGGTGGATTTCGCCACAGAACGAACAACATCGCCATTAAGATCATGAATGACGGTAAGGTGTGGATGAAGTCCGGTCCGACGGCGGTCTTGGCGTACTCGCGGAAGACTTTGTGCTGAAGGAAGAGTATCTCGTGCGGGACGGAGAGCAGAGTCAGTGTTTGAGAGTACAGAGCTGTCAGACAGGCCATCATTATGGTGAACGAACATCAGCCTGCTTCTGAGAAATTTATTCACGCCCAGCGTCTCGAATTTGCCCCAACGGCGATCGTATCGATTGGTAAACGTGACGTTGCGGACAAAATGAACCACGGTGCCAACGTTGCTTTGTTTCTTTTTTTGGGGGGAAATGGTCTGAATTCAGAGGGAATCTAAGAACACGGTGAAGATACGTTCGATCAGAGTTGGGAATTTGAACTTCGTTTAAGCAATTTATTATTTGGACGCTTGAACGAAAGAAGAAATCGAAATAAATTGTTTAATACGTGTAATTTAAAATTCAAAACTGTCGAAGGAATTTACGTTTCGACAGTTGAATTTAAATCATTACGTATTTTACGTGTCAGAGAAATTTGAGAGTGGAATTTTGCTTGGATCGTAAACAACCTAGATTGCAACCCCTGGCGAATCACTATTGGGATCATTGGACTCGGAATAACTAACTCTTTTCTTCGTTATCCGAGTCATAAAGGAACTAGTTTGGGAAGAACCATTTGACCGTAGCGTGCAATGGCTGTAAGGAAGTTAGATTGGGTATTTCTTACTGCACGACTCCCCCAGGGACACGACCCTTTAACCTTGCAACAAGGTCACGTATCTAAAATTTATATCCTGACAGATTTCATCTTGTTACCATTGTGCTCCGTTGTAGATTTAATGTTCCCTGAGGCATGGAAAGTTTATGGTCGGTGTCCTCCATAACTGCCCCTCGTTTAAGAATTTTGTTTCTCGAAAATGCGTAGGATTTCGAGGGTATGTCTATTCACCAAAAATGATTATAATCGACCCCGGCAACCGAAAATAATTTTTTCAGAACGATTTGAAACACATGAAATTTCAGGAGAATCGTTCATTCATGATCAGACATTATATTTTCGGTAACGAATTTTTTTCTCGATACTGAGAAGGATTTTGGGGGTATGTGTATTCATCAAAAATGCTTGTAATTGACCCCTGTAACTAGATACAATTTTTTTAGTAGGTTTTGAAATTTTTTAATTTCGTCTAAAAGTTTCAGTACCTACTCGAATTTTTTTCTCGAAAGTGGGTAGGATTTCAAGGGTATATGTATTTGCCAAAAATAATTGTAATTGGCCTCCGCAACCAAAAATAATTTTTTCAGAATGATTTGAAATTTTTTAATTACTTTTTATCGAACCCTTAGTCAAGAAATTGATATTCTTGATTTTCGTCTTATTTTGGCCTCTAGAATCTCCCATTAAAATTTTTCCCAAGGTTGTGGGGTGGGAATCATAAAAATTTGAATTTGTATATAATGTTTTTATATCTTTTCTTTTCGTTCCTTGTGTATATGTATAAATCCATAAACAAAAATTTGAAGGTTCTGAATTTGATTCAAAATAAAATTATTCTAGAGTGGAAAAGCAAATTTTATATTTTATTATTATCAAAATAATCTTCTCGAACTGTTAACTGTTCGTTAGGTCTGGGTTAAGTGATTTTAAATGATATATTTGAAAGAAGTAGTATTTAATTTTATTTTTTAAAGGAATACAACTAACGGAGAGTTAACTGTTCAAGAAGATTATTTTGATAATAATAAAATCTAAAATTCGGTTTACCACGATGGGATAATTTTATTTTGGATCAAATTCAGAACCTTCAAATTTTTATACATGGATTTATATATACAAGAAACGAATAGAAAAGATATAAAAACATTCTATAAAATGCTTGTGAGCGGAGTGGAAAAGTGAAACAGATGATGCACGTGTTACAAATAAAATATCTAGAGGAAGAAAAATCAAACCTGAATAAACAACAGATAATCTTGACAATATTTATTGAGTGAGAATAAAATACAAAGCGTTGCCAAGGCTCGTACACTTCCTCGGCTCGAAACGAGTCTCAAACAAAGTGTGGAATTGCATTGGACAATTAATGAGAACTCCGACAAACGAACAGCGAAGAAATAAGATTAGTAGACGCTTAAAAAAAAGAAATGAAATGGAATGTTTGCCGATTTATATAAAAGTTTTAGTCTCTACGAATCTATTTACAATTATATACACTTGAACCTTAAGTAATTTACAGTTTATATAAGGAAGTAGTCCGGTCCAACGAAGGATCCGCACTTAGGGAAGTCCTCGGGAGCTGTAGCCATGTCGTCAGTCTCTCCAACCTGAAGAATCACGTCCAAACCGCGAGTCCAATCGGTAGCGTGCTCGTCTCGTAGCATCCAATAACCTGCATACCCAAGTCACGATTAAAATTAAACAACGAGGGGCATTGCTAACTAATTTTAATAATTTTGTTTCAAAGGAAATTAGAAATACGATTCTTGTAGTCTTTTTTCAAGAATACTTCGAAATATTACGACGATCGAAATAATGTAACGAAGTTATAAAATTCTTCGTGGATCTTTCGTTATTAATTTGGAGTTAGGACCTTTAAACTTATAAAATAAGAAAAATCCTATTTGCTTTTATTCGGTGTTCGAGGTGATGTTCCCTTTAATAAAGGTACAGAGGGTCTCACCTGGATTGTCAGCCTTAAATCTGATAGCAACAGCGCCAAATTTCGGCACGACGACGGTATCCTTGACTACCGTACAGTCGAGATTCCTCGCGAACAGTTGTCCTTTATCATCCAAGCTTCTCAGTTCTTGAAGAGACACGCTACGCCCAAATTTCCTCGCCCCCACCACGTAGAAACTGTACCCGTGCAAATGGTAGACCAGATCGTCGAGGCCACCTTCGGGAACAGAGCACGTTTTATTAACGGAACACCGCGTGACACCGTTTGCGTTTCGTTCGAGCGCGTTTGAAGTCGGATAGGTAATTTTCCAAAGCGTTTCGCGATCGAGACGAATCCATCGGAGCGTAGAAATTGAAATCGTAGCGTTCCTAAAGCGGAATTCAACGCGTCCGGAGCAAATCACCATATCACAGTGTACGTGTACGAGGACTGTATTAAATAAAGAAGCAAAATTGTGAGCTCTCATAGACGGCCGATTCACGGAGATGGAATAGAGTCGCGATCAATATTACCAGCCTCCACGAGTAACAGAAATATAGATCAAGGCTCTTAACTCAAGGTTACATACTTCAGAAGCAAGTTTAACCGCCAGTTTCGCAAGACTTTTTCGAAACAAAGACGACGTTTCGTTCGGTGTTCCCGTTGTGCCTTTTATAAGCTTCTGGAAAATCTATTTGATTAGTTTTGCGAATCGAGATCATCTCCTGTATAGTTCCACGAGTTATAGCTTCGTTTCATACAAGCCCCATATTTTATTCAATGTTCGTTCCGCGCTGGGACGACATCTGCGTCAGAAACATAATCCCGACAACGTAGTCTATTGGTCTATCTACCCGGTATTGTTAGACACGAACGTCAAACGCAAAATTTAAACAGAAAGGTCTACGTGATATACGGAAGTTCATTACGGGACGAAACGATAGGATACCTCAAGATTTCTAACGTTCCTCGAAGCTGATACAATGTTACATTATTTTACACGAATTTGCATATAAATTATCCCATTACTAATATAGAGTGTCAAAGTCTATCGATTTGTTTGCGTGTAATTCCCCTGTGGGCATCCTTATCGACGACGAAACTTATATTAAGAATCAAAATCTGTCATATTTATCACGATAAACTGCAACTCAATCACATCAAGTTTAAAATGGTCCACGTCGAGTTTAAAGTGGCCCACGTCGAGTTTAAGGTGGTCCACGATAAGCTCAAGGTGCCCCACGGTAAGTTCAAAGTGGCCCACGTCGAGTTTAACCCCTTAACGCTTATATTTTTCGGGTCAACCAAGAATGATCAGTTTTCTTTATTGGATTTGTTTCCAAACTGTATAAAAATACAGTTTTTGTTAATTGCAATGTTGTATTCGACGTATAATTTGAAGAAAAACAAATATTGTCATCCCTTAAACAATTAGATTAAAGAAATATCGTTTTTCAAGACAGTCAGACTCGGGCATGAGCGTTAAGGGGTTAAGGTGGCCCACGATAAATTCAAAGTGGTCCACGTCGACTTTGGGATGGCCCACGGTAAGTTCAAAGTGGCCCACGTCGAGTTTAAGGTGGCCCACGATAAGTTTAAAGCGGCCCACGTCGAGTTTGAGGTGGCCCACTATAAGTTTAAAGCGGCCCACGTCGAGTTTTAGGTGGCCCACTGTAAGTTCAAAGTGGCCCACGTCGAATTTAAGGCGGTCCACGTTAAGTTTAAGGTGACCCGCGTTAAATTTAACGCTATGAGATACAGTCTCGCACCTCTGCATCGAGGCCACTAATTTTGGAATCTTGTTAAACTTGTTGAGCTGTACAGAAAGTAGACATCAAGATCGAGTGGATCATCGATACCGATTTGCAGACGTTCCCTTTGACGACCGCCGGTAGACAGCGTTGGAAATTGCACGAGCATGTTTACCGTGGCGTTAATTGGAAATCTAATTTCTCGTTTCGTTTCATCGCGAACGAAGCCGTAGATGCGTGACACATAACTCGAAGATGACACGTGACGGTCGCGCACAAACGTGATCCTGAAAGACGTTCTCGCACGAAATTACGTAGTTTCCTCGCTGCTTAATTTTATCGCTTCTACGCAGCGTCAACAGAACATATTTCAGACATTCTGGGAACTCGGATCGAACATAGATTTTATATCAAAATTAATTACTTGTACATACGTAAAAGTTTGGAGGTGAAATTATGTAGAACAGATAATGATATAAAAGCTTAAGAATATAATACGTCATACTACCTAAACGACATTCCGTAATTACATTCTTCAGCTGTGTCTTTTATCTTCGTGTAAGATAATTTGTATTTGCGAAATTTGATGTGAAATACAGTCCATTTAAATTTAAAAAAGGGCATAGGTAACAATTATATATCAACAAGTATGTTTAAAAACTTAAAGAAAAAATTGCCTAGAATAATGTAGATTACGAAACCTAAGTATATATCACAGTAATTAATATAATTTTGTATACAAGAATTATTTCAATAGTTTGTGTTTTATAAGAAGCGTCGTATTCGAGTAAATGAATTTTTCTAAAGTAATTCTTCGTCTAAGATCTCGTGCGTAAAGTCGACAGTGTGGGTGGACTCTAATGAAAGAAGTATCGCGAACGTACAAGTTGATGTACCGGGTGGATCGTGAAACTGGATCGTCTTAGATCTCCCGTTAAGCTTGGACTAAACAAAAATTGTGAGAAAATAATGTTGTTTAGTATGAGAAGATCTCCCTTCCCACGGTTTCACATTTTTTGCAAGCTGGTACAACGGCACGCTTAAGTATATTTTACTTTTACATAAAATTGACCCTCTTTAACATGTCTAATAGATGGACACGTGGATGGAGCTTGGTTACTCGTTCCTATTTATCTGCTATTTTTTTTAATCTGGATAAAAGACACGTCCGAAGAATTTAATTACGCCGAGAAACGTTCTATACGGTTATTGATCGCTCTATCTCACAGTGTAACAGCGATGGAAGTCTCGTAGAAGCGTTTGTATCCCTGAACCTACAAGACCTTCGAGTACACCCTCAAACCGATAGCTATAGCTGCACAGAATAATACTGATTCATGTTACAATTTTTTTTTGCCCGTTTCGCTCTGTATCCTTTCAAATTATTTCACCCTTTTTATTTGTTTGGATTCATTTTTCAATTTTTAAAAATAATTTCATTAGTTTATTTTTAACTTTTAGTGTATAAAAGACATCTAAACCATTCACGGTTTCGAAACTGTCAATTTGAAAAATTGCTAAAAATTATATCAGGTAATATAAATATTATATATTATTACGTTAAAATTTTTAACGAAATCTTCCTGTCAATTTAAAAAATTGCTAAAAATTATATCAGGTAATATAAATATATTATTTCGTTAAAATTTTTAACGAAATCTTCCTGTCGATTTAAATATTCAAAAAAATGTAATATATTATTTCGTTGAAATTTTTAACGAAATCTTCCACAGTTTCAAGACTGTTAATTTAAAAATTGAAAAAATTTAATATATTATTTCGTTAAAATTTTTAATCCTTTCGTATCAGCTGTTACGATTAAATTATATCGAATTATATACGATACCTTGGTCCAGAAGAATGATCTCCACGGTTGCTCCGAGCGGTATATACCTCACATGAACGCATTCGCATGTGTCGGACGCGGTCGCAGCGCCGTGACGGCAGCGTCGCGACGACACCGACGTAGTTTCGTTGTTGTCGTTATGGAGATCGTCGGAGGAAGTGGAGGAACACAGACTTTCTTCAGAAACGTCAGCACCCTGAGACAACAGGGGCGACGATGGGTACGTGAACGAGGCGTTGTTGACGTTCAAGATTCTCGTTTCTATGCCACCGTTACCTAAAACGAGAATATATCCAGATATTTATCCTTTCTCCAAACTTTAGCTCGTGAAAGACTGTCAATTATCGAAGCACAAGGAATTTTTAAAATTGTAACAGATGAAAATTGATTGGCTCCTTACTGAACACTGTAGCACAGTATTTCCTGTTTCACGTCACGGTGATTAAGAATGACAGCTCTGTTAATGAGAAATACCAGTACTAGGAGTCGTGTGTTAATTAACATCACCGTTGGTTGACCCTAATTGCTTTGCTTTAATGCAAAAAAATTGTAGTCCATTTTACTCTGTCAATAGTAATCTAGCGGAATTTACCTCGTTATTAATCGAGGCAACAAATATCTGTCTATTTTATTTTACACCTCTGGGGAAAAATTTTAATGGGAGATTTTGGAGGCCAAAATAAGACGAAAATCAAGAATATCAATTTCTTGACTAAGGCTTCGTTAAAAAGTTATTAAAAAATTTCAAATCATTCTGGAAAAATTATTTTTGGTTGCAGGGCCTAATTACAATCATTTCTGGTGAACACACATACCCCCGAAATTCTAACCAGTTTCGAGAAAAAAATTCATTACCGAAAATATGATGTCTGATCATGAATGAATGAATCCCCTGAAATTTCATGTGTTTCAAATCGTTCTGAAAAAATTATTTTCGATTGAAGGGGTCGATTGTAATCATTCTTGGTGAATAGACATACTCTCGAAATCCTGCCCACTTTCGAGAAAAAAATTCAATACGGGCGGAACTTTAAATGTTAATAACTTTTTAACGAAGCCTCAATCAAGAAATTGATATTCTTGTTTTTCGCCTTATTTTGGCCTCTAGAATCTCCCACTAAAATTGTACCCAGGATTGGCCGAACACCCTGTATAAGATAAAAGTCACAATGCTCAAAATTGTTATTTCTTCAAACATTAATCAAAAAATTTTGTTTATTTCTAAATTTATAGTAATTTTATTTAACGTAACACATGCTTTTAACTATTTACCAATTAAACGTGTTAAATATTCTGCAATATTCTAAATAATCGCATAGTAGAACAGATCTATAGATCCTACTTTGTACGAATATTAAATAAAAATTTCTCAAGATTGTGATGCCCAAAAACACTCTCGTGTGCAACAATTTTTATAATTAATTTGAGGTTTCGGGTAATAATTTCGAGGTACAATGTTTGGAAAAATAAATTACTCCTTATTTTACATTTTTCGTATCCAACGTTTATCGATCACCCACCTACGACGTCATTAGTTTGAAGCTTGTAGTTTATTGGCAGGCGTATCGTGACGTCCGTTTTCGGCTCCGAAAGGGAATTAGGCATCTTTCGTAACGACTTCAGCTCCGTAACGCACAAGGTGTCCGGATTGCCACATTTTTCCGCTGGATTGGTCGTCATAGCGAGACGGTTCGTCGTCGTCTCCTCCGTTTCCGCTTGATCGATGGCATCCGACGCTGACAACGGGTCTTTCATGACGGTTCCCGTGTATTTCAGGATCGCGGCGCCGTTTATGGGACTCGTCCCACACTCCTTCGACGTGTGCACGTTCATCCAATACGAGGCGACTGGTTTGTTCGCTTTCAGAACGAAGTCCGCTCTTTCGCCTGCGACGAAAATATCAGAACCCTTTAAAATCTGAAACTGACGTATTCCCTCGAGCCTCTAACGCTTCGACTGCCACGTGACAGGACTTTTCACTGTGGAACTAAAACAATCAATTCTCAGGTTGAAGGAAATAAATTTGTTATGTAGCTTGCAATTGCATAAATCTTTAGCACAATACAGTGATAATTTTCTCCTCCCTTTCTTAAGTAAACTGATTGTGATGTTACAGAAACCTCTGTATGTAATTATTTTTATTTTATTTTGGGTTATTATACAGTTTATTAAAGCTTGTGAAAGAAGTTATCGATGCACAGATAGTACTAATACGAACAAATGTAACGCTTCAATCTATTTTGAAGAGCTACGAAGCGGCAATCCCCACAATAGAGGAGGAAGAAGTGAAAGATCGATCGATATTAATGTCGATGATATCTCAACGTCATCTATGTATGCAGCGAATGGATTCCCCGCATGCGATTTCTAATTTATGGCATTTTTTTTTATTCCTCAAGGCGCTGGTTCAGAGAATTCGCGGATGGAAAATTCCAAGGAATGACCGTGACTTCCGTTTGTATGTCGATCGAGGGTGGCAAATATTGCCTCCTAACCTATAATAATTAACTAGCGATTATTCTACGCATTTTACCATTTAGTTACATTGGGTCTATATGTTCTCTAAGTCGAAGCTCAATGACTTTTTGGTACATTAAAAAATAAAAATGAAAAATAAATTAAACTCTTCTATTCTTGATACCTTCAGAGACTTACGCAATTACTGAAATCAATTTTATAGTTATGCTCGTTGCACTTACCTCTAGCCAAAGTAAACATTGGGTCTATATATTCTCTAAGTCGAAGCTCAGACTTTTTGGGAGATTAAAAAATCAAAATTAAAAATAAATTAAATTCTTCTATTCTTGATACCTTCAGAGACATACGCAATTACTGAAATCAATTTTATAGTTATGCTCGTTGCACGTACTTCTAGCCAAAGTTACATTAGGTCTATATGTTCCCTAAGTCGAAGCTCAGTGACTTTTTGGTACATTAAAAAATAAAAATGAAAAATAAATTAAACTCTTCTATTCTTGATACCTTCAGAGACATACGCAATTACTGAAATCATTTTTATAGTTATGCTCGTGGCACGTACCTCTAGCCAAGGTGATCGACGTGACCTGACGCGGGTCTACGGGGTGACCGTCCAGGGCAATCAGCAGAAGGGGGTGAGCATCGATGGAAATAGTTATTGGACAGGATCCAGCACCGCCAGCGTTTGCAACGCGGAACCTGTGACGACGACCTGGAACGACGGTGAACGTCGTATATGGGACATTTGGACCATTCGGTTGACGTCCTCTCCCGTTGATCAGCAGAATCGCTGGTTTCGAGTGTCCTTGGCTGAACGAGATCTCGGGTGTATGCTGCCATTGGGTCACCAGGACGACGTGATTCACGTCGTCGATATTGTACAAGGCACGATGAGCGTCCTTTATGTCTGCTTGTTTCACGACCAACGCGCCGAAAATCCCATTGGTGACGTCAGCCCCTGAACATTCACCAAACTTCGCTTAACTATGGTCCACGAAACGAAGTTGCCTCCACTTTGTTTTTTTCCAGCTTTTTGTTTCAGGAATTAGTAAATTAACCCATTGAGTATGAATATTCTATTCAAAGGACCACTTGAACATTTGTTTCTTTTCAGCTCTTTGTTTCAGAACTATTTAAACAATTTGGTTCCTTTCACCTCTTTGTTTCAGGATTTTTTTAATTAACACACTGAGTATCAATATTATAAGAACTATTTAAATATTTGTTTCTTTTCAGCTCCTTGTTTCATGATTTTTTAAATTAACCCATTGAGTATCAATATTCTATTCAAAGGACTTTTTAAACATTTGTTTCTCTTCAGCTTCTTGTTTCAGGATTTTTTAAATTAACCCACTGAGTATCAATATTCTAAAGACTATTTAAACATTTGTTTCTTTTCAGCTGTTTGTTTCAGGTTTTTTTTTAATTAACCCACTGAGTATCAATATACTAAGGACTATTTTAACATTTGTTTCTTTTCAGCTCTTTGTTTCAGGATTTTTTTAATTAACCCACTGAGTATCAATATTCTAAGAACTATTTAAACATTTGTTTCTTTTCAGCTCCTTGTTTCAGGATTTTTTTAATTAACCCACTGAGTTTCAACATTCTAAGGACTATTTAAACATTTGTTTCTTTTCAGTTCTTTGCTTCAGAATTTTTTAAATTAACCCACTGAGTATCAATATTCTATTCAAAGGACTATTTAGACATGTGTTTCTTTTCAGCTCTTTGTTTCAGAATTCTCTAAATTAACCCACTGTGTATCGATATTCTAAAGACTATTTAAACATTTGTTTCTTTTCAGCTGTTTGTTTCAGGATTTTTTTTAATTAACCCACTGAGTATCAATATACTAAGGACTATTTTAACATTTGTTTCATTTCAGCTCTTTGTTTCAGGATTTTTTTAATTAACCCACTGAGTTTCAACATTCTAAGGACTATTTAAACATTTGTTTCTTTTCAGTTCTTTGTTTCAGAATTTTTTTACTGACTTGCCAAGTATGCAATATTCTAGTTAAAGGATTATTTAAACATGGTGGCCACCGGTGACCGGCAATTGCACAGACACATCTCGCATAAAGTACAATCAGGTTCAAAATTAAAGGGGGAGACTCATGTAAAATGGTAAAACTAGAAGTGATATTTTACAATTTTTTTACAGCAGAAGGGTTTGATGAAACTTTCCGCTACTTTCCGCATATATTCTTTAACATTTCAAGATAGAAATATTTTTTTTTCGTTACGTTTCATCGACTTTGGATGAAATAATAAATGTTATTCCTTATCTGCAGTCTGGCATCTTTTTCCTTCGATCTAGAATAAAAAATCGAACCAATTTTTGTTCACAATAGTACTACGCGTCGTATGAACTGACATTGTTCATAATAGCAATTATTTAAACTATGTTTATTGCATAATTAAATTAGAAATTTATTGCAAGAATCATCTTTTTGTGTTCAGAGACATATATCTTCGACAATTTTGCATTTTTTAAGAAGAATTTTAATTCATACGACCTATAGTACTATTATGAACGAAATGTCGTTCGATTTTTTATTCTAGATCGAAGGAAAAAAATGCCAGACTGCACATAAGGAATAACATTTATTATTTCATCCAAAGTCGATAAAACGTAACGGAAAAAAGATATTTGTATCTTGAAATGCTAAAGAATATACGAGGAAAGTGGCGAAAAGTTTCATCAAACCCTTCTGCTGTAAAAAAATTGTCAAATATCACTTCTCGTTTTACCATTTTACATGAATCTCCCCCCTTAAGTGAACAGATAACAAAAATATCAATGGAGATTAATTAAAATAATACTAATGTCATATAAATAAACATTGTCCATAGATTATTTGATAAAGAACTGGAAGAAATATTTTCACTTTTATACAGGTAAATTGCTAATAAATTTAATGAACAGTGCAAACAATTGTGAATGGACAAAAGTAAGTGGAAATTTTATAAAATACCTAATACAGAAAAATTCATATTTTTTGTTACCACCTTTTGCCCTAATTACTCCCTCTAAACACGATCGATTGTGTTTTCCAATAAACACAATTTATTGCATAAAAGTGGAAATGTTCCTTTCGACTCTTTATCAAATAATCTATGCAGCATACAGATACACAATAAATAAAGTTTATTGATGTAACAATAGTGCTATTTTTATTAATCTTCATTGATAGCTATTCCCACGCACTTTTTTGCACTTTGGGAACGCATAACTCGATTGATTAATTGACCATTACTCACAGTAATTGGAACTTTATCATTTATTTAATTACCAGCGTGAGCATGCCAAAGGTGAGTTCCAGCAGCCGAGGCACGGAATTTGTATTGAAAAGTGGTGTAACTCGGTATCGGGCACTGGGTGACCAGAGGTGCACCGTCCATATAGGGTGTCTCGATCTGCGTTTGACCGCGCCAGTGCACCGCGGCTGCTTTGCCCGGAAGTCGATTAATCACATCCACTACCAAGATGTCGTTTTCACAAACCTGAAAAGCGTAGAACCTGTCTGGAAACCTCGCCATATCTTGGACACATCTTGTTCCTTGCTCCAACCCGTTTAACACTAGATTTACGGTCACGTATGTATATTTATTGATACCTTTCATGTTGACGATTACCTTAAAATACGATTTTTTTTTTACTTAGAATATGTATTCATGCCATTGCATCAATCAAGTTCAGCGTAAATTATTAAAAAATAATATTTAATTAAAATTATGGAACCAGACATCCGTCAAATTGACGATTTCCGTAAATCTAGTGTTAAAAACGTTTCCTAATCTATAATCACAGAACACACTTTTAACCTCGGAACATATTGTTTTTTCAAATGAAAAATAACTTCTACACGGTCGCAATTCTCAAAAAATATTAATATAGTATAATCTAGATGATGTTACGAAAGAATTTGTTGCACGTGAAAAGATTACCTTGAATTAATTTAAAAAAGATCGGAGTCGATATTGTCGTTGGGCTCTAAAAAAAAACTTGCAACACTTCATTTGAATAACGTAATTAATTCTGGTGAAAGAACATAAATAATAATTTTGAAAAGTACGAAATGGATTATATTTAATTATTCGTCTTTTTTGGAGATGTCATCAAATGAAAATACAACTATAGAGTAGAAATCTGTCGATGATGTAATTTGTTTGGTGAGTGCAACGATGCTAATGCAATATGCAATTACACCTCTTTCTTAAATCGAACTGTGCTTTCTTTTTTGCATAAATTGATTTCTTTAATGACTCTGAACATTAAAATATTAACGCATAACCATCGATTGCGTAATACTTGAGATATTTCATACCTTATGTTAGGCTACTGCTTTATCCTAGCAGGCGTGGAATAAATAATCTAGAAAGCAAGACTCGAGACTCACATCCGTTTCGAATTGAATGAAATGTACATATTTATAAATTGCATTATTCACCTAATACAACCACGATCTAATCGGTGAATGGAATCTCAACGTGAAGATCGAGCTGTCGAATGCAAATATAAAATACGAAATATCTGATAAAGTTTTTAATAGTATCTTAATATTTTTATACAAAAAATGGTGGGAAGTATCGATTTATGTCTTCAATTTATTAAAAATTTGTTTCCTTCCCTCGTCTATGTAAATTTATTTTATGACTCGAGTCAATATTACAGATGCATCGTCTATGCATACAATTTGACAAAATTTCCAATGGTATTTTAATATTTTTATGCAAGAAGCGATGGGAAGAGTCGATTTATGGTTTCAATTCATTAAAAATTTATTTTCCTGGTTCGTCTATATAATTTAATTTTATAACTCGAGTCAACATTACAGGTGCATCGTCTATGCATACAATTTGACAAAATTTCAAATGGTATATTAATATTTTTATGCAAGAAGCGATGGGAAGAGTTGATTTATGGTTTCAAGTCATTAAAAATTTATTTTCCTTGTTCGTCTATATAAATTCATTTTATAACTCGAGTCAACATTATAGATGGATCGTCTATGCATACAATTTCACAAAGTTTCCTATGGTATCTTAATATTTTTATATACTAAACGATGGGAAGAGTCGATTTATGGTCTCAATTCATTAGAAATTTATTTTCTTCCCTCGTCTATGTAAATTTATTTTATGACTCGAGTCAACATTACAGGTGCATCGTCTATGCATACAATTTGACAAAATTTCCAATGGTATTTTAATATTTTTATGCAAGAAGCGATGGGAAGAGTCGATTTATGGTTTCAATTCATTAAAAATTTATTTTCCTGGTTCGTCTATGTAAATTTATTTTATAACTCGAGTCAACATTACAGGTGCATCGTCTATGCATACAATTTGACAAAATTTCAAATGGTATATTAATATTTTTATGCAAGAAGCGATGGGAAGAGTCGATTTATGGTTTCAAGTCATTAAAAATTTATTTTCCTTGTTCGTCTATATAAATTCATTTTATAACTCGAGTCAACATTATACGTGGATCGTCTATGCATACAATTTGACAAAGTTTCCTATGGTATCTTAATATTTTTACACACGAAACGATAGGAAGAGTCGATTTATGGTCTCAATTTATTAGAAATCTATTTTCTTCCCTTGTCTATGTAAATTTATTTTATGACTCGAGTCAACATTACAGATGCATCGTTTATGCATACAATTTGACAAAATTTCCAATTTAATATTTTTATGCAAGAAGCGATGGGAAGAGTCGATTTATGGTTTCAATTCATTAAAAATTTATTTTCCTGGTTCGTCTATGTAAATTTATTTTATAACTCGAGTCAACATTACAGGTGCATCGTCTATGCATACAATTTGACAAAATTTCAAATGGTATATTAATATTTTTATGCAAGAAGCGATGGGAAGAGTCGATTTATGGTTTCAAGTCATTAAAAATTTATTTTCCTTGTTCGTCTATATAAATTCATTTTATAACTCGAGTCAACATTATACGTGGATCGTCTATGCATACAATTTGACAAAGTTTCCTATGGTATCTTAATATTTTTACACACGAAACGATAGGAAGAGTCGATTTATGGTCTCAATTTATTAGAAATTTATTTTCTTGGTTCGTCTATGTAAATGTATTTTATAACTGGAATCAACATTATAAGTGGATCGTCTATGCATACAATTTGACAAAATTTCTAATGGTATTTTAATATTTTTATACGCGAAACGATAGGAAGAGTCGATTTATGTTTTCAATTCATTAAAAATTCAACAAATCATTGATCGAATTAATATTGGTAATTATCGCGTCACAGAAGTGTTCCATGCTAGAAATACACGTAATTAATTTATTGCAATAGTTGATTAAAATTTTTCCGCCTCGTACGAAACATTGACCGTTATCTAAATGCCACTGGCAAGTCGAAGCAGAAAAATGCTTATACAGTTGCAAACACGTTTGTGCATAGTTGTTGTTCTTTGAGGATAATAGAGGAATGCACCACGTACGTTGCTAATTGCAAATTATTACGATATCGATCTCGATCCGTTCATCGTAACGCATAAATTACCATCAATTTACGCGTATTGCACAATTTAATGAGCGCATACAGCGGTATTTTTTTAAACGTTAGACTCAGAACGTTAAATTTCGGCGTAATACGCGAACCTTTATCGCGTTTTCTATCTGGAAAATTATTATGCTGGCCAGTTAACGCATACGATCGTTCCACAATGTAGACTATTCGAGATTTAACGAATCACCGACTCGATAGTATTTTTTCTGAGATAAAGCGTGCATTCTAATCGAACGAGTAATCAACGAGGCCATTTGCATTGCTTCTTACGAATTTTCCAAGAGATTTCGATGCAAACAGCCGATATTTGAAGATATTAGACTACAGAGGAGATTTATTTCTAGAATAAATCGTTTTCTAGGTTGGAACGCGACCAGAGAATTCAATATGTCGTTAAAAAGACTTTACGTAATAACAAAAACACGATACGTTGGTCTGGTTTCGACGCAATCGAAGTGCAATCCGAGACGCGGTTTTACTTTTGCTTTCACGTAAGTTCGTTTCGTTCTACGTGAAAGCAAAAGATTGATATTTCGCAAACAGCATTCGCGTTCCCGCCGTACGAAATCGACTCGATTTTATTTCAATTTGCCTCGTAAATAAGAACTCGACGGAACGTGAAATATTCTTTTCCCCTGATACGAATCCCATTTGTGGCGTGCAAAGTATAATTTTCATTGAATTATGCTTCTCTCTCGACACCATTTAATTCTCGAACGAAACATTCCCACGTCAAGTTTGAGGTGGCCCGCGATAAGTTTAAAATGACCCACGTAGAATTTGAGGAGCCCCACGTCGAGTTTGAGATGACCCACGTTAAGTTTAAGGCGCCCACGATAAGTTTAAAATGACCCACGTCAAGTTTAAGGCCCCCTACGATAAGTTTAAAATGACCCACGCCGAGTTTAAGATGCCCCACCCCGAGTTTGAAGTGACCCACGCGGAGTTTAAAGTGACCCACGTCGAATTTAAAGCAACTAAAATAAGTTAGAGCGTCGATGCAAAAGTTAAAATATATTTTTGTTAATAAAATTTGAACCTCTGCATCGAGGCCATTAATTTTGGAATCTTGTTAAACTTGTTGAGCTGTACAAAAAGCAGATATCAAGATCAAATGGATCATCGATACCAATTTGCAGACGTTCCCTTTGACGACTGCCGGTAGACAGCGTTGGAAGTTGCACCACAGACGAGGTATATGAATAGACCTTTCACGTAATGTAATTTTTCGGCCGGAGTTTCTGGGGTCCCGGGACCCCATTACCATTTTCGTGTCACTCGCAACGTTATCAACAGATTCAGAAATTAACACAAGAGGAAGTGAGACAGAAAATAAAATTACATAAATTTTATTATTTTTGAACGGAATTAAAGCTGTAGGGTCTATCATTGGACATTAATCGATTAATTTCATTGGAGAAATCAATCGATTAAGAGTATTTAAAAATTTCAAGATTATTAAAATTCCTAAGGATGTATTTCATTGATACGTACACCGCAAATTCTCTATTTTTTATTTTAAATTGTAATACATCATTTATTAAAAAAATAACTCAGCAGAAACGTATTTGCGACTCGAAATCAGTTTAATCAGACTGTGCAACGGGGCCCCGGAAACTTCTCATTCCTCACTTTCGTACACTATGCCCAATTGCTTGTACGTGAGCTCATTCAGTTTCGGAAGAGCCGAGAAGAACAGGCTGATACTCGCTTTCCTTCTCGCTCTTGCATCGCTGACGTCGCTTACATTTCTCGAAAGCAAGCCTGCTGGCATCGCCACCCGTTCGAATCGTCAGTAAACGACAAAAGCCATCGTGACTGACAGACCTTACATTTCTCGTAATCGGACCTGGGCGCTTTTTGAAGATTCATTGACTTTCCATACGAAGCGACCATGCGTTATATACATATACATGTTATACATGCTAGGAACTATAAGTTGTATAACTTACGTCGTATATCTACTTTCTAATAACATGGAAAAATTTTAAAATATAAAAAAATGTAAGAATACTGTAGAATTTTTGCAATGGAGAATTATTGAAGGAAAATGAATTGATTATATACATATGTATATATCGGACACATCCCTCGCAAACACGCTGCAAACATTAATGAGAACAAAACTGCAAATCTGTCCTTTTTTAAAACCCCGCAACTGATCTTTGACTCGGAACTCGTCCTCTTCATTTAGCAATTATAATAAACGTAGACTCATTAAAATTCGTAAAAATAACAAAGTTATAGCCATTTAGAGGGAAGAGTACCCAACGGTTAATAATCATACCAGAAATTTTAAATGAGTTTTTCTCGAAACCATATTTTCGAATTTGGCTGACATGATATCACAAATTCATATTGATTAATGGATTTGAAATTTATAGAGACATGCCTGTATGTTAGAAATTTTGCCTTTGACGGTTCTGGGGTAAGTCCTGTGCCGTTCCTCACAGTGCTCTTACCGGAAGGTCCCACGCCTTCCCCACTCCGTGGCCAGATCCTTCAGGACAAAGTCTTCATTTTTTCCAGCAATACGACGTCAGGTCGTCTGCCTCTTTTAACTACTCCCTCTCTATTCATAAACAATCAATGCCTCGACACGCGCTACCTGGAGACTCAACGCGGTCGTCCGCTATCGCGTCACCCGTTGCCAGGCCTGTTTAGTCTCATTCGCTCTTTAGGCCGCATGCATCCCAAAACTCTGTCATAAATGTATCGTAGACTGAGCGTCCTTCAGTGGTCCTTACATTCGACTCTCTTGGAAAATACATTGTCGCTAGCGTTTCTGGAAAACAAAAGCCGATCCCCTATTTCGGGAGAATGTCCACGCGTCGCGTCCAACCATTGTTGCCGTGGCGAAATCGACTTTTTTGCCTTCGCCTTCGAAAAAGATTAAGCAAAAGAGTTTTCTTCATTGAAAGAACAAAAATTTTCCAGTCCTTTATTTTCAGTAGGGGCGGTCTCAACTTCCATTCATTTTCATATGATTGATTTTAATGAGTCAGCGTTTTTTTAAATTGCTAAACAAAGAGGACAAATAGGACAGTATTCTCAAATATTTTCCGATTTAAAAATTAAAAATTACAGTGAAATTTATTCGGTTGTTTAGACCCAATAGTATTAATAGTATAAATATATGAACGCACGTCCATAAGCATAGTAAAAAAATGTCTTTTTTTTAATAGTTAAAATATGATCAAGGGGTCCTAAAACTTGTATTTCCGTAAAAAAAATTTTTGAAATTTTTGTTTCATTATGGTATTTTGCTTATACATTGTATACGCCTATATAGATCGAATTTCGGCTGTGTTAAGAGCAAGAAGGATAGACTGACATTCGCCGCCTTTCTCGAATCCTCGAAGAGATACGAAACGCCAGAACTCATATACAAGGTGGTTGGCATTAGTGTGTGTAAGTGGTGGGGCAGCTCCCTTTGGGCACGGGTCTGCCATCTGATAATACTGCACTGTCTTTTTCAATCCCCCCCATAGTCAACTCACATGTATTTACGCACACACTACAGCTGGCTGCCCATCAATACTAATTCAGTGCCTAGTTTCTCAACTGACTGTCATCCATGAGAAGAGGCCGCTAAAATCACCTCCGAATTTTCAGGCCGGTATGGCAGTCAGATTCGGCCGCGAAAGTCCATAAGGTGAAAGGTCTATTCATATATCTCGTCTGTGGTTGCACGAGCAAAAACAAGTGGCATATATTAACAGAGTAAACTTCACGCTTTGAAATGGTATACCATACGAATGTAGTTCCAAAGGAATTAATTTTCGATCAATCGCTGAAGCCTCTAGTTGGAAAAACCGCAATTGTTTTTGCACGAACCTAATATTTAATTTGTTTTTAGAATTTCTGTTACTGGTTCGTTGATTACCTGAATGATGGGGCCAGGTAATTGACGATTGGCCGTCAGGATGCCGCGTCTCTGGCCATCCGCCGACACACAATGATTAGACAGACACGCCGTCTCGTTTCGTAGACAGTCGCCGCACGATCTGTGCAACGAGAAAAAAGAAACAGAAAATAATTCACCGCGATTACGACAGAAACGTAAACATCGGATCGAGCAAAGTGTTGCTTGGCTCGAGGCTCTTCCGCGTTTCGGCTCGTCGAGAAATTGCATAACGGTTGTTGCAACGGGCGCACCGTGCTGATGATTCTGATAGAAATTACTAAATACCGAGACGGTTATGCGATTGATGCAACAGGACGTCTTGCAAATCGCAGCGAGGGAAACGTTTCTTTCCTCGTTACGTAATCGTCATTTATTACGTTTATGGATTTAACCTTTCACACTTTGAAGAGCACAATTGATCGGAAATTGGAAATCTGCGGGTTTGTGATTTTCACGTAACCATTGTCATTTTCACCCGATTCGAAACGTTTTTTTCGGTGATCCTTATGCTTCGATGGTTATTTGCAGAAATGTCGACTATGAAGCAGGCAACTTGAAGAGAATTATTCAAACTGTACAGAGTTTGCTGGATCACATTTTGAGTAGTAAATACTGTTTCGATAGAATTATGCTGGTTGAATGTTTTGTTAAAAAATTTGATCATCTCGTTCAGAACAATCTTATCATTAATGATTTTAAATAAAAAACATAGCTTCTTATTTCAAAGACGTAAATACAAGCTTAATTCATGTTTTTTAAAAATGGTAAAACATTCTATAAAAATATTATTTTAGTCTACAAATAAACGTCCAAAAGGTACGTTGACGTTTTTTGTTCTTTCTCTGTGTAAACATAAATTATAAAAAATAGAATTGTTGTTATCTTACTTGCTGAGAGACTGAAAGACTTCGAGGGTGAGCTTCACTCGACAAATCATGGGCCAGTCCAGATGATGACATGGTCTGTCGCAAGAGAGGAATATTTGCTCTAAAATGAAACAAAACAGAAGACGAATCAAATAAATAAAATTTCAACCGAAAGTAAAATCGAATATTCGAGCGTCAGAAAAGCAGCGAATTATTGTCTTGAAAAAGAAAAATCAAATTCGTAGTGATCCTCGCGTCGTTAAAAATTTCTACTCGTTACAACAATTAATTACTGCTACATTGTTCGCGTTGCGTTTAATGAATCGTGCTTGCCAGAATGTTACTTTCGATCGAGACGATCGAGAGGAAGTAGAAAGTCGCGAAAAGAAGTTCTTTTATCGGAAACGTCGATTAAATACTATTTAGTTTCGAGTTAGAAGCGTTGAAGTATCCGGTGATATACGTTCTCGAAGTATGTTTCCACGTATAGAAATAAACCAAACGACAATTGACTTCGAATAACTTCGTAACGCTGCGATTCGAATGCAATTTTCACGTGCAACGGTGCAATCTCAGAGTAAACTTTCAGTGTTTAGGTTTCTAAATTTCTCTATCGACTTATCTGCAAAAAGTTTGCCTTTCGATTCGTTTCTCTGTCTATCGAGCTAGAACTACAACTCACAGCAATCATAGTACAGGTGCAAAGGGGGTGGTTTTTGTGGAAAAATTAATAAAGTAGAATAAAACTTTTGTGTAAGACAGACTTCTATCGAGAGAAATAATTTTGAAGATATTGTTTGGACAATTACTCTGAAGTAACCTTAGAAATAGCCTTTATTTACGAAACTATTCTAATCAAAAACATTTTATCGAGACTTAACAATCTGACAGGATTTATATAGTTTAGCAATTAAAAATAAGAATGTCACCTTCCAATGTTAATTCTATCAGAACACATATGAATAAAGTGGAATGAAACTTTTGTGTAGGACAGACTACTATCGAAAGAAATAATTTTAAAAATATTGTTTGGACAATTACTCTGAAGTAACCTTAGAAATAGCCTTTATTTACGAAACTTTTTATCGAGACTTAACAATCTGATAGGATTTATATAGTTTAGCAAATAAAAATAAGAAAGTCACCTTCCAATGTTAATTCTATCACATATAATCGATAGACAAAAATTTTAGTTGATATTTTTTATTTGTTTTTGGAAAGAGATTGCTTCTGGATGGAATTCAGACTCGCGGAAAAAGTTAATTAACGATCATGAATCTAAGATTAATAGCGTCGCTATCGTGAAATTGTATTTCATGGGGGGAGAAGTCTGATTTGTCGAGTTCCGTGGCCACTGTTTGTACTATTTACTCTCGATCGATCGATTTTTGTTTGTTCCTCGCGAGCTAATTTCATCCTTTCTTCCAAGTTTGGGTGATCGAAAGAAGAGTAAAAGGTTCTGGCAACCACGATTCCCGTAAATTTCTCTAGTCGCTATAGTCGCGTGATGAACTTACTGGGCCTGTAATTGTTAACATGCAAAAAAGTCGCCGCAGCCGCGATCATAAAGACGACTAGGAGAAACCGTAGACCGTAGGTGGCCGGCGTCATCGCGCAATTCGCACGTTTAGAAGACTGCATCGCCTACCGGGTTTGTTATGCAACGATAACAGAAGGTGGCAGCATTCTTATCCGTCTATCAACGGTCCTCGGAAAATCTAAGAAGCAACGTTCCCCGTTGCTCAGACCTCCGATAATCGCTATCGAGTGCCCCCTGTTTTGTCAACGAAACGCAATTAAAATTGTAGCGACAACGAGATATGCACGATCGAACGAGAGAACTTTGTGATGTCGAGGAAGCGTCGCACAGTGGCTCGAACTGCTCGAAATCGCGAAAAAGAATCAAACTTTTTCTGAAAATTGACTATTATACTCTAAATTTATTATTCAATCCCTCTCAATATACAAACCACATTCCTACAATATGACCTACGATATTGAATAAAAAGGAAACCGTAAATTTCTAAAAGTATATTTTGAACACACGATTAAAATAGAAAATAAATTAGCACAGATAAATATGATTTATTGCGATGTTTGATTTAAATATTAAAAATTATAACACCATGTACAAATGTACAGGGAAAAATTGTAATGGGAGATTCTAGAAGCCAAAATAGGACGAAAATCAAGAATTCTAATTTGTTGATTCAGGCTTTATTAAAAAGTTACAGAAATATTTTCCGGAAAAGAATTTTTTTCTCGAAAGTACGTGGTATTTCGGGGATATGTGTATTCACCAAAAACCATTGTAATTGACTTCTGTAACCAAAACTAATTTTTTTAGACCAATTTGAAATTTTTTTTCTTCAGGGTAACCAGACAGTTATGGTCAGACATTATATTTTCAGTAATGAATTTTTTTCTCGAAAGTGAGTAGGATTTCGAGGGTATGTATAATGACAAAAAATGGTTGTAATTAATACCTAAAAAGAAAAATAATTTTTTCAGAACGATTTGAAATTTTTTAACATTGCCGATAAGCTTATTCACTTATTCAATTTTTTTCTCGAAACTGGTTAGGTTTTCGAGGGTATGTCTATTCACCAAAAATTACTATAATTAACCACCGCAACTGAATATAATTTTTCTGGAATGATTTGAAATTTTTTTTTTCGACGAAAACTTTTCGTACCCTGTCGATTTTCCTTAAAAATTCGTTTTTCATTTTTAATAAATTTGGTTGGCGCTGTATAGTAAAGTTGTTTAACACTTTTTTGTAGGTGCCCATAAACTCTACCTCCCTACTAAATTTCAATGAAATATGTCCACTATTGTAGGAGTTATGGTCGTTAAAAGAATCAATCATTTTTATGGGGTTTTTTTCATTTTACGAGGTTAAGGGACAACCTTTCGAATATTTTTGGAACGTCTACATATTCTCCATTAAAAACGCGTCGTTTGCATTTTGAAACATTAAAATCGTCCAATCCGTTCAAAAGTTATGACATTTTAAAGATACGCCTGAAATTTTAGGGAAGCATTCTAGCCTCACATTAGATTTTCGTTAAGGAATTTTTTTCTCGAAATTGCGGAGGAATTCAAGGGTATGTCTATTCGCCAAAAATGATTGTAATTGACCCCTGCAACCAAAAATAAGTTTCCCAGAACGATTTGAAATTTTTAATTTTCTTGAAAAATTTGTCCACATTCCCGAATTTTTTTCTCGTAAATTCGTATGATTTCGAGGGTATATGTAATGACAAAAAATGGTTGTAATTGACCCCTGCGACCGAAATTAATTTTTTTAGAACGATATGAAAAATTGTTTTTTCGCCGAAAAATTGCACCTCTTCTCCAATTTTTTTCTAGAAAATATGTAAGATTTCGAGGGTATGTCTATTAACCAAAAATTATTATAATTGGCCCCCACAACCAAAAATAATTTTTCCAGAACGATTCAAAATTTTTTAATTTAATTTTTTAATAACTCTTTAACAAAGCCTCAGTGAAGAAATTGATATTCTTTATTTTCGTCTTATTTTGGCCTCTAGAATCTCCCATTAAAATTTTTCCCAGTGATGGCCGAACACCCTGTATAGCAACATATACTGATATATTAACATGTAAAAACAAGTGAAATAGTGCAGAACATATTACAATCTAATTGATTTAGTCGATAGTAAATTGGTGGGATCTCTTTTCAGGAAGCTCCTTCGGGTGCATAATTGGCTTGAAAACAGGTGGAGAGTATTTACATAAGTACAAAACTATATATATACTGTAATGTAAGCGTATGTATGTAGAAAGTGGAAAGAGAGTCGTGACGTCGATATCGGCTAAATAAATTACTCTACGCGCGTTTTCCAGCGTTGTTTACCTACTCTTGCATATTAATAAAGAGGAATAAAACACTTTCATATACGATATATTTATATTATAATGTTCTACTATTTGTACGTCGGTTATGCGTGCTTGTTTAGAAGGCAGTTAGAAAGTACAATGAAACTTCGAATAATAAATAAAGAGAAAGGAATCGACAGCATTCTGTTTGACTAGGTGTTTGTATCTGTGTAAAGTGAACAATGCAAATGCATTAATTCCGCATCGATATATCTCTAACCGAGACAGAAGAATACAAAGATAAAGAATAGCTTTTAAAATTCTATTAAAAAACCAAACAATATACAACTTCTACAGTTTTATATTGTTCGAGTAAAAAAAGAGATCTCTTAACCCTCGAATTTTCTTTGTCCACAAAGAGTTTCTCACCCTCGTCCAGAGGGACATTTACTGAAACAAAAAACAAGGAAGCATCGTCGCGTAGATTTTTTTATCGCGTCTTTCGAGTTTCGTGCCACTGTGCAGATATATTTTCCATCGACGATGATGATTTTTAAGCGATGATCCGAGGATGGACTGTGAATCAATGAACGTCTGCATTCTGACGTCGACGTGGGTGAAAGTGAGTCCCCGAAAAAAAAAAAAAAAAAGAAAAACGAAAGGAACCGCTGAGGCGAGTACGAAAGTCGCAGATATTTTATTTCGATCGCTCGTTATTCGCCCTGCTCTATGGAAGAGCGCGCTCGTCGACTTGGAATCGTTATTTCTTCGAACGACTCGAGAAGAAAAAGTTTGAAGCGAGCAACTCGCCGTTGAATGGACAGTGACGGATACTCGTGACGCAAGATCGGTATTAATAAAACGTTGTATAATGAAAATTTGCACCAACGCTTGGTAGAGCATGGTCGGGATATTACGGCTGCGGTAATGCAACCACAAACGACAGAGGCCAGTGACACCGATCGTCAAGGAAACTGATAACGATCCGAAGTAACTCGCGTTTCATCGAACGTTTTCTATCCACTTCTTAGAATCTCCTTTGGAACGATAGTATAATTTAATCAGGGATGAGTGCGAGATTAAAAAGAGACAATGGTTGCTGTACAAATTGTCGAATCGTGTAATTCAAATTGGGTAAATATGTTTCAGTCCTCTTTGGAAGATCCGAAATAATTGAAAAAGTGGAAGATAAGGACAACAGATATTAATTCACTATTTAATATCTACGTTTCCTATTTAGATATAATGATTTTTATTTAAATTGCAATAAAACTGTAACCATTTTTTCCAATATCAACCGTGATTAATCAATGATGTTTATCAGTTGAAACTGAAAAGTAATCAGGTTTTATTTAAAGTTACTTCATCAGATGAAACCCCAAAACTAAATAAAATTCTTATATGGATAAGGAAATTTGCATAACGAATAGAAATAAACCAGGAGCCAGTATTTGTCCAATAAAAATTGTAATCCGAATTATACGATCCGAACTAATGAAAAAGTGAAATTTTAGACAATAAAAGTGTTTGAATAATAAAGACAAGAGAAATTAACTTACTATTTAATATCTACGTTTGCTATTTAGATATAATGATTTTTATTTAAATTGCAATAAAACTGTAACCATTTTTTCCAATATCAACCGTGATTAATCAATGATGTTTATCAATTGAAATTGAAAAGTAATCAGGTTTTATTTAAAGTTACTTCATCAGATGAAGCCCCAAAACTAAATAAAATTCTTATATGGATAAGGAAATTTGCATAACGAATAGAAATAAACCAGGAGCCATTATTTGTCCAATAAAAATTGTAATCCGAATTATACGATCCGAAATAATGAAAAAGTGAAATTTTAGACAATAAAAGTGTTTGAATAATAAAGACAAGAGAAATTAACTTACTATTTAATATCTACGTTTGCTATTTAGATATAATGATTTTTATTTAAATTGCAATAAAACTGTAACCATTTTTTCCAATATCAACCGTGATTAATCAATGATGTTTATAAGTTGAAATTGTTAAAGTAATCAGGTTTTATTTAAAGTTACTTCATCAGATGAAGCCCCAAAACTAAATAAAATTCTTATATGGATAAGGAAATTTGCATAACGAATAGAAATAAACCAGGAGCCATTATTTGTCCAATAAAAATTGTAATCCGAATTATACGATCCGAAATAATGAAAAAGTGAAATTTTAGACAATAAAAGTGTTTGAATAATAAAGACAAGAGAAATTAACTTACTATTTAATATCTACGTTTGCTATTTAGATATAATGATTTTTATTTAAATTGCAATAAAACTGTAACCATTTTTTCCAATATCAACCGTGATTAATCAATGATGTTTATAAGTTGAAATTGTAAAGTAATCAGGTTTTATTTAAAATTACTTCAGCAGATGAAACCCCAAATCTAAATAAATTTAAAGAAATTTGCATAACGAATAGAAATAAACCATGGGCAATTGTTTGTCCAATAAAAATTGTAATCCGAATTATGCGATTCAATTGTGTATCACTTTGAACTAGTAGAAGTTTATTAGTCCAAGCAGTGACCGTCAAATTACTTACGTCACCGAGTGCAAGAAGAGTTTGTATTTCTTAGGAAAAATCCACTTACCGCGTCTCAAGACGAAGGTTAATTAGTATTGATAAAGAAAAATCACGTGTCTGAACCCACCTAACCGCAATTCTTTGACGCGCCAATCACAATCTTTTTTTGTTGACAGTAATTAACCTTACGATACCAATACAACTGATGCAGAAACATACCGGAAATGGCTATATTTTCACAATGGCGTCTGGTACTATCATTATACTTTCATGAGAAACGCACATTTTTCTTGTACTCGATGACACAAGTAATTTTTTAGGGTCACCGGTTATACTATAACTTTTCGATCAAATAAACGTT